GGGGGGGGGGGGGGATAGAGGGGTTCCAGGCTCTTCACCTCATCCCGGGCAGGGGCAGGGCAGCCTCTCCTCCATCTCCTCCTGATTGGTGGGAAAGTTCCACCAGTTGCTTGAAGCCCTTTCAAGCTGGCAAGCCAGGCTGCTACCAGTATGCCAACCACATGAATACAAGTCAACGTTATAGTTGGGGTGCGCAGTGTCATCAGCAGGTGATGGGGAGTGTGTTGTATTGTGTGAGGGAGAATATTTTTACCTTTGAACAGAAACACTTGTTGGAATACTGGGTGCATCTACACATGCACTTTACTGCAGAGCTGAATAATTAGCTCTGCAGTAAACTGTCACTGTCTACACATGTGCCTGTATTAGGTGCAGTAAATTAATTAACTCCACTGTAGCTAGAACTGTCCAGGACAAGTACTATCTTACAGCAGAGTAGTTATGTGTGCCAAAACACACATGTAGATGGTGACTGGGGCAGGAGAGTCCTACAGTGCAGGGGCTACCTGTGGCTAGCCCTGCACTGTAGTACTCTGTGCCCCAGCCAGCTCCTCCATAGCATGTTGAGCAGGGGCGGAGTAGCCCTGAGGCAGGCTGACCCCTGGGGCCACCTGCCAGCTGGGGCTGACCCACCTGCCTCAGTGTGCTGTGGGCGAACATGTAAATGCTGCACCTGGGAGCAATGAACTACAACATGAACTGTGATGGAATTTATTGTTATATCCTGCTGCCCATCATGGTAGTGGCCCCCTTGCTGCTCCAGTGGTCAGGCAGGGAGAGGGCAAGACACTGCCTGCAGGGTCTCTGGTGGGACAGGGAGCAGGGTCATTCCCTGCTCTGCCCCTGGGGCACCACATCTGGGTCTTCCTGGCTCAGCCATAGCCAGTCTGTGCTCAGGGCAGCATCTGGCAGAATAAGCCCCCTCCTGCCAGGAGAGGGCTGGCCTCAAGCACAGACCAAGCGCTGGCTGTAGACAGAGCAATGGCTGCAGACCAAGTGGTGGGCAGACTGTGCTCAGGGCCAGTCCCCTCCTGGCAGGGTGGGGCTTATTCTGCTGTACACTGCCCTGAACACAGGCTAAGTGGCAGCTGCGGCTGGGCTGGGCTGGGCAGATCTGGCTGCGGTGCCTCAGGGGCAGAGCAGGGAATAGCCCCACTCCCTGCCCCCACACCCCCCCCAGAGGCCATGCTGGTGGTATCTGGCTCCATCCCTGCCCAGCCACTCAAGTGGTGAGGGGGAGCTACTTTGATAGGCAGCAGCCCCCATCCCCGTTTCCCCAAGAGTGAGCCTGTTCCCAGTGGGGGCCACACTGCAGGGCCAGCAGAGCTGCTGCGGAGCATGGCAGTGCTGCGGGAAGCTTGCAGGGCTCTGACCCAGTCTGGACCCTGGTGCTGCTGCACGCAGCCTGCTGCACGCAGCCTGCTGCAGCTCTGCCCACCCGCAGTGCAGCACTCCCACTGGGAAGTGGCTCATGCTCCCTGACATTATGACAGGGGCTGTTGCCCCCAACAAGGGCCCTGACCTAGCCCACTGCAGTGATGGGGTTGGGGCACAGCTAGACAGGGCCCCTGTTGGGAAGCAGGGATGGGGGTTATTCCTCCGCCCTCCTGTGTCCAGTAGAGGGGACAGCAGAGGACTTATTCTGCTGTAGGGAGTGAGCTGGAGGCTGGGGCCTGGTGCAGGCTTTGCCGACTCCAGGGAAGTGCTCCTCTCCCTTGCCTCAGGGCCCATAGGGAGTGGAGCACTTCCCCGGAGCTGGCGGAGCCCGTGCCAGCCCCCGGCCCTGATGTGGGGGAGCGCAGCGCTTCCCCGGAGCTGGTGGAGCCCACGCTAGGCTCCCGCCCCAGCCTCTCCTGGTGCACAGCCTTGAAAAGGCTGTGCATGGCCACACTTTTAGTTGTGCGCAGCCATGCACACATGCATGCACCTTTGAGGGAACCTTGCTGCAGACATGTGCTCACAGTTCCTCAGTCCAGAGAGAACCTTTTTCCTGTTACAAATTGGTTCAACCTAGGCAGGTTAGACTAACCTGCAAAGGTTGAATTAATTCAGGCTCCAGATTTTTGAATGTCTGTCTCTAGCCTCACTGCATAGTCTAGGTGCTGTTTTTTTACAAATCCAAGGCTTAATGCTGTTCCGTTGCACATTTCAAGATTAACCACTTTCCAACTTATGGACTAACCATGTTTATTTCTAATCTTTGTTTTCTATCTGTTAACTAGTTTTTAACATTTTTCTTCTTGCCCAGTTGTTGCCAAGCTACCTTTTAACAGCCTCTCATGAGAGAATTTATCTAGCGCTTTATGACAGAATAAATAAATGAAATGCAGTAGTTGTTTATTATCCACTGTTTGGATAATTTTTTTCAAATAAGTCTGTTTTCAAAGAGGCACAATTAACTCTTACAAAAACTGCTAAATTTATCCCAATCACATTCATTATGTGCTTTATAACTCTCTGTAATGAATGCAGTGTCATACTCTGACAGTCATTACAGAGGAAAATATGGAAATATTTAACATTTAGGATAAGCTTCTTTAACCAAAGAAGTTGCTTGGCTTGTCAGTCTGTGGGGAACCAGGAATGCCTAAAGACAGCTGCACCATTTCAGCAGAGATATTTAATGATTCCCCAGAGTGGAAGAAATGCAGATTTCTTTCTGACACTAGGAGGCATAAAGTATTCCCACCAGAAATCAGGGAAATAGAACAAGACTGTTTTAATCCCTAGGGATCCAAGAGCCTCTATACTATCTTCCCCCCCTTTCCCCGCTAACCTCTGCATGCTATTCAACTGCTCTGTGAATTTATTTTAAAGTATTATTAAAGATGATGGGTTTAATCTAAATTCCTGAAACCATTGTATTTTAACCATCATGAAAATTTAAATTTTCCAGATGCATTGCTTTGAGTGTTCCTTGATACTGTATGCAAAAACAGCTGAGTTGATAAACACATACACAATATGAATTCCTAAAATGCAGGGAAGTGATTGGAAAACATCACTTGCAAGGAGAGAGTATTTTAGGCCTATGCCATTGGGAAGGGATTGGTTTAATGCTCATGTCCATACATTTCAATATCCTGAATCTACAGGACACCACAATAAAGACTTATTCATCTTCTGAGTAGGAAGAAGGAAGCTAAATTAGGCTTTAATAGTATCTGGTACCATAGGACTCTGCCTTAGAGTAACCACGGCTGTCAAAATCATTGCTTTCAGAAATGATTTTGCACACAGTTAGAAGTTAGAAGTTACTGGGTCTCACAATACAAAAGCATAGTGAGAATTTTCCAGTCTTTCAATTTATCCAGTGAAGAGCATCAGATACTAGTAAAAGTTATCAACTGAACTATTTTGGGGGGAAATGAAAGACATTTTCAGTTAGATTGTGACCTCTGTGGATAGCTCGTCGTAAAAGCTTCTTGCAGTTTGGCCAAGAAATGAATACCAGTGCCTCCATTCTGTAAATCTTTTCAAATAGATTTTTAAAAGATGAATGGCATATTTACAACACACATGGTGCTGCCTGGTCAGAACCATAGGGAAGATTTACGTGAGCGTATATGAGAATTTTCTAGTTGTAAGCCAGAAGTTTTTTTCAAAGACTGTTGGACATTGCATCTTTTCTGTTCCTCTGAGGAGATGCTTCCTATTTCCACACCACTATTTCCACACCACAATTTGAAAGAAAACAACTAGACTTATAGAATGGTTTGTAATGACACATTAGGAGTAAGGTTGATCATTGAAGGAAAAGGAAATGCAGTATCTACATTTTATCTTATTATATAAGCTGTAGACATGCTATGTATAGGTCATTTAACTTTTTGAAACAAGATTTAGAGGGGGGAGAAAGGACTGATTGATTTTTATTTTACTTAAAGGAGTTTCCAGATTATAATAGAAAGACAATGTGTTGTCATTAGGATATAGTGGAAAAGAGTAAAGTATTTGGTTAGTTTTGACTCTTTGAAAGTGAAAGTCTGGATCAGTATGCTCATAAAAAATTGGACAGGGAATATCGTTGTATGCTTTCTTTCTACAATGCCGCATTTAATTTAGAAAAATGTTAGACTTGTATATTACAGAAGTATTAAATATGCATGGGAAGATGATTAAAGACTAGAAATTCAATCATCACAGACAAAATTCTACCCTTAAACTTGTATATGCAATTCCCATGTTCCATATTAGCTTACCTATTATGGTATTATTAAATGCCATCCAAACAGGGTTTTTTGTGCAAGTGACAAAAAAAGTGAAGGAATGATGTCTTGGGGCTGAAATCTATGAAACTTGAGCTATTATAACGGATTACTAATGTAGGTATATAGGACATGCCAAAATGATATACATTATTGTGCTAAGCACTGTGCTGACAAGTAGGAAGATTTCTGTCATAAAGAACTTAGAATGTAAATAGGGAATCTCTGATATTTTCTTATGTCTTGTATCTTTTTTCCCCCTAGAGCATAAGGGCTTCTGGTCTGGTTCTTCTGGAAACCATCCTTTTTGGATCACTCCTCCTGTACTTCCCGGTGAGTTAAGGTGCTATTTTGAAAAAGGGTATTACTGATAAAATTCTAAAACCTAACATCAGTTGCTTGTATGACTAATATAGATATCAAAATTGTACATATTTGTTAGGCTAACATATGTGTAGCAACTTGCCATTTATCAATATAGATGTTTAAACATAACATCTTTGTGATCATTCCCTTCCAGGTATGGGGAATGCAAAAATGAAAAGATTGCACATTACAATTGATATAAGCAATGATTTTTTAAAATACATAAATATCAAATTTGTGAGGCTGTCTATTGTTTGTTTCCACTTGGGAAGAATATTAATATTGAATTGAGCTTGAATATATCTGTTGCTACTGTGCAGTTTGTTACAAAGCTGGGGAGCTACTTAAGTATATTGTTAGCAAGTATTTATTAAATGTTTCTGAAACTGTCCACTGAAATCTGGAATAATAGGTGTTTGGGAAATGGGTGGCTGTTATTTTTATACCATAAGTGGGCACAGAGCAATATAATGTAATGCAGCAGAGAAGACACACTAAGTAGTTCTTTTAACTGGGAATGGGTTTTCTGGAGTTTTTTTTAAGGGGAAGCAGTAAGGTACTTTACTTGTTATACAGTCTTACGCATCTGAAAGAGGATACAAAACTGAAAGTTGGACAAAGGAGCCTTTTAAATGGCTCTGCTGCCCTGTAGCACGACGACCTCTAGGGGTGCCATGACCTCCCCTAGCGCCCCTACCTACCGTGCCAAATATGGTTTAAATGCACCCTCTTTATCTCTCCTGCCACGTCTTTGATGTTGATATGTTCAAGGGAGGCTGCCTTTCTACCCTCTTTGGCACGGCCTGGATGTATCTTGGCTTTGTCTAACCACCCGTCGCACTCTGACCCTTGGGCTGCATGTGAGTCCTACCGTCGGCCGTGCCCTTACGGGTCCGCGGACTCGTCCCCGTGCCCACCTGTCTCAACCTCGCAGGTGCCCCCTTGCTTCCCTCGTGGCCCTCACCGCACAGGGCCTGTTGTGCGTGCTCTCACCCTCACCGGGACCTTGCTCCTGTATCACCACCCTGCACCGGGCCTAGTGGCTCGCGCCCCCCACGCTGGGGCCTCTCTCAATGCTCGCGCCCCCCACGCTGGGGCCTCTCTCAATGCTCGCGCCCCCCACGCTGGGGCCTCTCTCAATGCTCGCGCCCCCCACGCTGGGGCCTCTCTCAATGCTCGCGCCCCCCACGCTGGGGCCTCTCTCAATGCTCGCGCCCCCCACGCTGGGGCCTCTCTCAATGCTCGCGCCCCCCACGCTGGGGCCTCTCTCAATGCTCGCGCCCCCCACGCTGGGGCCTCTCTCAATGCTCGCGCCCCCCACGCTGGGGCCTCTCTCAATGCTCGCGCCCCCCACGCTGGGGCCTCTCTCAATGCTCGCGCCCCCCACGCTGGGGCCTCTCTCCGCGTGATTCCCGCAGTCAGGGCTCAGGTGGCCGTAGCCATGCCTGGCCCCCGGACCCCTTTTTGGATCCTATGCCCGACTTGGGCTTCCTAAAAATCAGGGCTCAGGCGGCCTCAGCTTCATCTGGCCCTCAGACCCCTTTCCTGGGTCTTACGCCCACTGGGCTTATCCCAATTGGGGCTCAGGCGGCCTCAGACTTGCCTAGCCCCCCAGATCCCTTTCCTGGGTCCTACACCCCACTGGGGCTCCTCCCAATAATTGCCCACACTGGGGCCAGGGTCGGGACACCCCAAAACGCAGCACCCTCTCTGGTGCCAGGAACCCCCCCACTACTGGGGAGCTCCCCTGAGGCCTCCTCCAACCCCTACAGCCTCACCCGGTCCTCCGGTCTTACTCAAACTACCGGACAGAAAATACAAAACCATAAGCCAACCGGCTGTAACACAAAATAAGCCTCCTGGCTATAACATAAATTCTGCGCCAACCTGGCTCTCCTTCATACCTCCCTGTCAGGGTTCTCTCCACCCTGTACCATCATGTAGACACTCAGGCGGTTAGGCTGCTCTGCCCTGTTCTGCTCCACAGCAGAGCTCAGGCTGCCAGAGGGGAACTGCCCTTCTGGCCTCAGCCCAGCTGTTTATAAAGGCCAGGCCCTGCCCCCTGCCAGTCAGCTGACCAGACTGGTTGTCGTGGCAACCCACACTTGTGCTGCCCTGGTGACTGGCAGCTGAGCCCATATTACCACTTGTCAGTAGCAGGCACCTTAGTGCCCTGCTACATGTCCCTTCATCAGCCTCTGAATTCCCCATCCACCCTCCAGTTGGCCGCTCCTGGCGCCTCTCTCAATTAGCCTGAGAACAGCCACAGTAGTGGGATAGGGGTGAGGGGCATTCCACTCATTGCCTGTTTCCAGGCTCCCTGCAGCTTGTGCCACCCATGGACACCTGGATCCAGCCCCCACCAGGCCCCATGGCTGCCTAACAGCTCCTCTTCTTCTCCCCCACTTCTCTCTACTGCCCCTCCTTCTGTTCAGGGGCCTAGAAGGGGCTGGATCTGGATGCCCAGGGCTGGCTTGGTCTGCAAGGACCCCAGGACCAGGCAGGGAGGGGGAACCCTCCCCAAGGGTGCCTCCTTCACTCTTGAGCTGATCAGCGCAGCGATCCAGGATTAGAAGGGATGATTGCTGTGACAGGGGAGTGATCTGGGGGTAGAGGGGGACATTCAGGGGGCTGGGGGTGATTTGGGGGGTAGAGGAGGGAGCAGCCTCACAGCTGCCCACCCATCCCATCCACTTCCTCCCTCCTCACTCACCCCATCCCACCTACCTGTTGTCTGGCTGTTCCCAGGTGTCAGTCCAGGGCCATAGAATCTTGAATCATAGCTAGTCCACCTAGGAACAGTACCTCTTGGGGTACTGGAGGACCACAAATTGGTGGCTTTATCTCAGGTGAATACCTAGAAGTTAACTGCAGCTAGGTAGCACAGCTCAAAGATAATCTTTGCCTGAAGTGGCTTAACTTTAAGATGCTTAGAAGGCATTTAGCACATGAAACTATATTACAACATGGTACTGTTGTAATATAGTTTCCCTGGTAGCCAAAGTACTTATGTGGCTCTACAGAGCACCAGCCAGTTAATGAGAAATTGAAAAGCAAAATGCCTTGCCAAACACAAAAACACTGCAAATATGAAAAAGAGGGGTGATGAATGGCATAATAAACTCCCTGGAGTTTTTTCTAAATTATTGTTCAAACTGTGTTACTCTTAGATTATAGGGTTAAAATACATGTGTTTAATTGTTAGGATACTTTTATTTAAAATTTCATCTTTAACTTTGGTTGTTAAGATGGGGGCAGCTTTTTCAATATTTGTGAATTGCAGATGTTGCCATGAGAAACTACTGGCGAGAGACATGTTAAGGCCAGTCAGACAGGGCATTTATACATGTGCTCTGGGGTGGGGTGGAAGGGAGGCACTTTAATTAGGGAGCGCTTTTAATTAAAAGCATCCAAGTGGCATGTGTATCAGTGAAAATATGTATATAAAAGCAAAAGTATATCTTAAAAATGGTGGTGGGGCAGTTTGAACTAAAGCTCACTGAACAAGCTTTAGTTTAAAGAGCTCTGCTGCTATTTTTTGGTGTGGGGACACTAATACACATGATGCCAGAGTCTGCTGGAGCTTGTTTATTTGCATGCTCCAAATGGCTGAATTAATAGTGTGCTCTGACACGTTGGATTTCCCTGTACATGTATAGGAGCTCAACAGTCTTGGAACAAAAATATAATCATGGTTTATGTGTTCAGGGTTGTACAGTTGCTATTTATTTCTTATTGTCCCTCCCCTGCAAAGGGCCAAAATGGCTCTTATGCAATCAGAGTGATGGGGAGAGGAAAAGGGAAACGGACATTATTGTGTCTCCTATTAGTCAAGGAAAAGTAACATGCCATCCAATCCAAGCACTGGGCAAGATCACAGTGTATAGAGGGGGGGATATAGGAGGCCCTATGTGAGGTATACCAAAGAGCTTAGTTCCACTCTTGCTTTGCTTTCTTACCAGTTTGCCTGCCCCTGATTCTTCATGTTTATCTCTAGCCGTTGGTCTTGACCTAATTTCTTCTCCCACAGACTTTGGTCTTATGAGGATATCTGCCTGTGGGGTCACTGTTTGGGTGCTCAGTGTTAGTGGATGTTTATATCCTTGGTAACATAATATATTCTCCATCTGCAATTGCATGAAGGTTAAAATCATAGAATCACTGAGTCGGAAGGGACCTAGACAGAT